TCCCAGCTGTCAGTAAAGGGGGCAGGGCCAGAGGCTGACGACAGCCAAGGAGAGTTCTCGGTCAGACGGAGAGCGAGAAAGCGAGAGAGAGTGAGACAGTGAGTGTGTGAGAGAGGGAAAAGTGAGCGACAGAGTCAGCGAATGTGCAGTGGTGCCTTGTGCTCCAGGACTCAGCCTGCAGCACAGTCTTTTTCTCCTCTTCTTTCTCTTCTTCCTTTCTGCACTCGTCTTCCCCCCACTCTTCTCCGTTCCATCCTCTTTTCCACCCCCCCCACCCCAATCTCTTTCTTTTAGTTTTCAGCACTCTCTCCTGCACCCGACTTTTCACTCTGCATCCCTCTCCCTTGCCCTCTTTTTGGTCCTGTAATCGCTTTCTTTTCTCCTGGCGGATGGAGTGAGGGTTTTTTTTTTCAACACCTGCGCTCTCTCTCCTGTCCTCCCTCCATCTCATCCCATGGGCATCCGTGCATCTTGCAGGTAAGAGCTGTGTGTGTGTGCAAGCGTGGGCAGGCGTGACAACCATAGGCAGTTAGAGGTTGTATTGAGACAGGTCCAGGTGTTTTTAGAAGAAGTCCTTGAAGTATCCTGCATGTTGTTCGTGTTCATGTTGTCTGGCAATCAGAGGACACTCAACTGTTTCTGTCCAGTTGTCCGCAGTGATCTTGAAAGCCACGATCATGTGTGAATGCTCTTGTTGGTTTCAAGATGATGTTGACATTTTGGCAGCTATATTTGAATCTAATCCTTGTCCTGGGATCGAAGGTCCGTGTGGCAGGTTTTTAGCCTAAACTTTTAGATTTCTGATGAATTTGTTGACTAAAACTCTGAACATATAGTCTATTTTAGGTCACTTTAAACATCAATATATTAGTCAAATTAAGTTTAATATAAATCCATCATTCTGTACAGTAGCTCCTCTGTTCCATCAACGCTGCAGGTGCTACAGAGAAGAGGTCAGGTGCAAACATTCAATGACAAGTATGCATGGAGGAATATGATTCTTTGCAAAACTGCTTTTTTAATGCATGTCTGTAATGTTTTCATTAATGTGAGGACAGTTTTGTCAGTTTTGTGTTAAATCTTTTTTAAAAGTTAAGTTGTTTTAAAATGTTACCCACATTTGTCTACTCTATTTTCATTAGCAGTAACTTGAAGAGATTCAGTCCGTTTTTGTTTGCTAAGATTCATTTTATCTCGTCAAGGACCAAAAAAGTCCCCTTTTTCTTATTGTTATCATTACTTGAAAGCGTGTGCGTGTTTGTGTGTTTAAGACACAGCAGGCAGGAGAGGTAATGGAGACTTGTGAATAAGCACTATGCATGAGGGTTGAGAGGAGGTTGGCCTAGGTATTGTTTTGATAGAGTGTGTGTGTGTGTGCGCATGCAAGTAAATTAACAAATGGAGTGTTTTTTGCCTTTGCCATACACTGTGTGGGCTGGCAATGTTTTTACAAGTGTTGAAGTTGCTTAAGCCACAATCAGTCAAGCCCAGAGAAAGACTTGAGGCAGCACATTCGTAAGTAATTGTAATAATATCGTTAATAATGAGAAGCCGAAATATAATTTTCAAACCTAAAATCACTGAATCAGTTTCTTTGTCTAATCACTTAAATACTGCTGTAAAACGGAAGGGGTACCCAAACATTTTTTTTCTGTTGACAACATTATGAGCATTAGAAAAATTGCCCACTCCAGTGACACCTTTTTAAGTATTGAAATCGAAACCTCACCACAGATGGGTGAATATGTAGAAGCATAATCACAGAATGAATAATAAACCAAATATCTTTTACCCAGCCTTTTCTCCTTGGAGGAGGAGTCCTGAACATTGCAGATCTGATACAGCTTATACTGTATTTTGGCAGAAATGTAAATGTAAACAGAAGATGCAGTGCATATGTGTTGTTGGCTGCACTGTCATATAACTCTCTAATGTTGATATTAGTAAAGTGCCTAATTCATTAATTAATCTCTGCACCTCTGACTTCAGCTCAACATCGTTGATTGCCTTTTTCTCCCTCGGGAACAGTAACAGACAGTCAAGTTCTGCTTTATAAGCATGTTTTTGCTAAGATGCACCCTTTTTCTCAGACTTAAGCCAATGAGTTGATTAGTTAGGCATGCTCATCTTAATGACTTTAACATTGTTGGCATGCAGGTCACAGCAAACTTCCCTCAAATGAAGCAGTCAAACAGATTTTTTGCCTCCACTATCACACCATAATTTTAGAAGCAATGACAAGAAACAGTTTTCTTCAGAGGCTGTGTGGCAAAGTCAGCTGCTTAGACTCTTTCACAGCTTAAGAGATAATATGTGACTTGCTTTAATTAGCTCTAAATCCTCCACTGCACCATCCAGTGTTTACTGTTTGACTCAGTAAGTTAAACACCAAATCTGAATGTGGAACACACAGGACTGATGTGCTTTGTAAATATTCATCAAGAAATGAGTGCTTGGAAAACATCAAGCGGGAGGGATTTTGTATGTTAGACCACACTGTGTTTATTTGAGGCTTGAAAAATAATGTGCTTGTGAGAGAAACATCTGTCTGCACTGCATGCAGTGAACAGGAGTTCTTGCTAGAAGCTGCGGGCTGTTCTTACCTCAGCAGCGCACCGTGACCAGCCCCCTGTAGTCATACAGTGAAGCATCATAAGGACTTGTGATCTTCGGTTTTATAATAGAAAATGAAGATAGTGGGATAATAATGATCTGCGTTGGCGCAGGAACACCAAACAGATATTTGACCTACTTTGTTGAGAGATCAAAAGAAACACAAAACACACAGCATAGCAAGGTATTGTAAAAAGTAAATTTTAGTTATTGGTATACTAGATATTTTACTGGTACCAGTATTTTATTTACCAAAATAATTGTTACCTTGTTGTTACCTACGTGCATTATTATGGTCATTTAATGTGTTGAAGGAAAATATACAGTATGATGTATATAAATCCTAGTCCATCTGTCCATGCCACGGATTTTGACAAAACCTTTGAGAATGATGCATGTCCGTTCATTATTGTGGTATTCTTAAAAATTGGACTGATTGGAATACACGGGATGCAGGTGAGTTTTATTAGCTTTTTCTAATTGGTCGAGGGTGTCAACGTTATTCATTGTTGATATGTTGTTTGTTACCCTGTGGTTTGGATTCAGTGAGTGAAACAGTCTCTTCTTTCAGCACCATGGACAGCACCGAGGGTATCGTTGGTAAAGCTGTTCAGTTTGTCCAGAAACTAGTCATTTACAAACAACGACACAGCAAGTAATGTAACTATAATGTGAGCTAGGTTGTTGCTACAGCTGCTGCTGCTGCTGCTGCAACGCTAACATGCAGTGAGGACGAGACGGTCCCAGAGCCAGCACAGCAGCTCCAGACAGCGATGCGGTACAACTCTTCTGCTACAATAGCTTCACAACAACAGCGTGTGTTTGGCAAACTAGAAAGTAAGCTGAATGTCAGTGGGCAAGTCATTTAGCATTACCTGACACACAAATCATGGCTGAAATAGTGTTGTTGTGCACAAACACCAGGTTTATTTTCTGCGCGCACACAGAATGGAGAGCCAGTGGGCCGTGAGGAGATATTCGTTGAATTTGGCAAAATGACGTGGATTGGTTTAGAATTGCTTACCCCACCTTTTAATGGGTCACAAAACAAGGAAGAGATGATGTCTGTGTGTGAATGTCCTTCATGGCATGTTGACTGACTTGGGTAGGGTATATAGTGTTCCCTGTTAATAGTCTGTGCGGCTGGATCAGCTGGATGCTCTGCTCTAGAATACTGGTTGTTGTTACGTGCTGCACCTTCACCATCTGTGGGTGCCTCATGCTTTATTTTGTTTGATTTCTAAATTGAATCCTGTGTGTCTCCTCAGGAACAAACGTGGTTACTAAACACTGATGCTCTCTAATGAGCTGCTCTATATGAACAACTGGAGGATTGATTTGATCATTTATTCCACCATGTTCAGATAGATTCACACAACACGGCACGCTCATTTAAGAATTGTGGAATCACTATCGGCTATGTAATGATATTAGGTCCTGGTCGAAGGACATTTTTTAATACTGTTTGGGTTTGAAGAAGAAAAGAAATCACACATCTCTAATAAAAAACACTCCACTCCAACACTGACTGAAATGTTACTCATGTTATTTTCAGAGCTGGACTTGCTACTACAAAATATCTACAAAGTCCTGTTCTATATTGTCTGCCTAGACATAGTTCCTGCAATCACTGGACATTAGCTTTTAGTTTTGTATCTGTGACGTTGACCTATCTTCATATAATTATCGTCCTGGTGTAATTGCTCTGATCTCTGGTATGAATGCCAGAGGATAGTCACTCCCCATAGCCTTAAAAGTTTATTTGTGTGTGCGTCAAATGTTCATCCCACTTCTCTACATTTAAAAAAACATATTTCTTGCTGCTTTCTTCACTGTCTCTTTGTGCTTACATGACGGATTGATTATAGCTGGGGTAGGCAATTTATTTCAGAGGCATTTCTTTTGTTACATTTGTTGAAATGCTATTTCCACCCAACAGCGATCAAAGAATCAAATTCTCTGACACAAAAATATGGCTATTTAATTTTTTATTATCCCTGCAGTTTGATGTGAAAACTGACAGTAGCCTAAATATTGTTGAAATATTTGATTTGTCAGTTGTTGACTAAAAAACATAGGCTGATACAACTATTTGTTATGGTACTGAATAATAACCCAAATTAGTCATTATGATGTTCCGGACCTTTGCTTCGGAAAAATCTCTAACTGGACCTCTTTGAATTTTAATTGAATACCCTTGGTCTATGAGTTGCTCATTTTCCAGTGTTTACTCTTTCGTTGTAGTTTACACTGTCTTACTTTTCCTACTGTCACTCTCCCTCCCTTGGCGCCCTCCTTCCTTCCTTCCTCTGTGTCTCTAATGTTCCTGTCTGTCTTTTATGATTTCCTCTCTCCCTTACCATCCCCCTCTCTCTGTTTCCCTTCAGACCAGAGCCTCATGGTCGAGGAGGCGGCTCTCAGTCAGGCCAGGCAGACTCTCCCCTCCCAGAGCAGGACGAGGAGATCCTGGGCTCTGATGACGATGAGCAGGAGGATCCCAACGACTACTGCAGGGGTAGGACGTCTGTCATTGACATGTAATAGCATTAGTATTAGTACCCTGACATAAATAGATTGTCATATGTTTAAGCAATAACACATGGAATTGAATAGAACATGATTTAATAGCTTATTTGGAGTAGACCTGAATGACCTTGTGCTTTACACATGTGAATACACACTTTCATACACACGTACTGAACATACAATGATTAAGCAGCATTGCTAGAGTTTATCTGCTTCTGCATCAGGTGGATATCACCATGTGAAGATTGGAGATCTGTTCAACGGGAGGTACCATGTGATCCGTAAGCTGGGCTGGGGGCACTTCTCCACTGTGTGGCTGGCCTGGGACATCCAGTAAGTTGGCCTCCAAACTATGTGACATTTAGACGGTGACGTACAGACGTATGCAGAGGTTATGAGTCATGAGTGGATTTCACCGACCCACAGCTGCTGCTACGTCGCAATGATGTGTGCTTTCTTTATACTGTAATACGTCCAAAAAAGAAGCATCTAAAATAGTGTCTGGAACAGTAGCCGAGGAGTGCTGTGTGCATGCATGAGGTTATAATGGTTCAGTGAGGGCCAGCGGTTTCAGCCATGTTGCTGCCTATATATGTAATATTTATAGATTTTACTCTTAAGAATTCTGTAAACCTGCGAAGCTCCAGTAAAGGCCTGGTTCCTTTTTTTTTTTTTTTGTTAAATAATGTCTCTGGACATTATTAGAAGTTTTATGGATATTTGCACAGAGAGATTTGATGTTTCTGTAATTGACTGATTGACTAATGTTCAAGTGGTTGTGATGAGTTAAAACACTGGTGTTGTGTGTTTGTTTTCCAGGGAGAAGCGCTTTGTGGCCATGAAGGTTGTAAAAAGTGCTGAACATTACACGGAGACCGCTCTGGATGAGATCAAGCTGCTCAAATCCGTAAGGCACACTGTCATCTTACCACCAATATTTTCACACTGCCTCATACTCCAGTTATTCCAGTGCCCACAACTTTCACAACACTGTGTGTGTTTGTGTGTGTTCTCAGGTGAGAAACACGGATCCCAGTGACCCCAGCAGAGAGAAAGTGGTGCAGCTTCTTGATGACTTCAAAATTTCTGGCATGAATGGAACTCGTATCCTCTGCATAGAAGAAACTTCTTGTTAAGTAGTCACAGTTCATGTGTACCTAAAAACATACATTATTCTTGCCCACTATTGCAAAGCAATATCCTGTTCATAAGCTGAACAAAAAACAACCCTCTGTTTAAAAATGTACTAAACTGAGTGACCAGTTTTCTGACTGTGCCAGCTGATTAACATGATAGAAGGTTTTCCGGTGCTGTCATTCTGTGAAAGAAGGCAACAGTGCAACAACAGCAACTTGGCGTCCTTCCATTTTCTTCTCCCTACTGTTGCTGTCTCAGTGTATTGGCGTGGACATACTGATTACACTAATTCCAGGCCAAATGGCAGCGTTAGTGTTGAACATCCAAGGGTAGGACTCCCATCAACTCAGGCTAGATTCAGCTCATCCTTGTTGTTGTGTTTGAAGGCCACATTAGTCTGCATTACTTTTCAAGATTAACCTATCTCATTTTTCTGCCAGAATGATTGAGTTTGAATGCAAACAGCAGTGACAGATACAATTTGTGTGCCAGTTATTTGTAAAGTCTCCAACAATTTTATTCCGCCCCAGATTCACACTCTGCACTGCTATTCGTGGTTCCCAGAGATTGATCTGACGTTCGGCTAGATGCGCACTTTGGCTGGATCTTTAAGTGTCACGGTCCCCGATGCACTGATACTCGCTCTATCCGTGTCTCTCCCACGCCGCCTACTCTACAGCTGTGTGTTCAGGCAACATGCCCAGACATCCTCTGGAAATTAAAGTTAAAGCTGGGGCAGGCAATTTATTTCAGAAGCATTTTTTGTTATATTTGTTGAAATTCTCTTTACATCCCGACAGCAATCAATAAATCAAATGCTCTGACACAAAAAAATGACAGAAATCCGGTAACTGTGGCTGTCGCTGACCTGTAATAATAAGCACGGCCTTTATTTGGTTGGATCCTTTTAAAATCTAGCTGTCTTTGATAATTTTCCATGTTGTCTACCCAAGCTTTAATTTTTGAGTTGCATACTGAAAAATTGTTCAGTCATGGAAATCCAAGTATGAACCTGGAAAAGGTATGGGGAAAGACTGGTGGGGAAAAAACTCATTGACACTATTTGATAAACATGATGAAGCTCTGCCGTGGCTGCCGTGCCCCTTCTTGTTCCCTTAAAAAAATTACAACACAAAAATTCCTGGTGGCCTTCCCCTAAATGTCTGAAATTCCAAGCCTGGTGTATGTTATACATTTTTATTAGTTCCACTGTAGACTGAGAAAAAGTCACATTTAAAGTAATCTGAGAAGTTGATTTCTGTTAGTCCTTGACCTTGTATTTCTTCAGATGTGTGCATGGTATTTGAGGTGCTGGGATATCACCTACTGAAGTGGATCATTAAGTCGAATTATCAAGGCCTGCCCTTGCCCAGTGTTAAAAGCATCATTCGACAGGTACTGTACAGCTATACAGAAACAATTTGTTGTGTTTAAAATATTGAGTGTGATGATTGTTATTGTGTTTCATTTCATGTTTTGGTTTGAGTGCAGTGTCAGACTCTGGATAGCACTTGCAGAACAAAACAACAAAAAGAAAACAAATGGATGTGTGTGTTATTTATTTTTATTTTTTTACAAAGCAGGCGACACAGGTGTAAGACCACAGAACCCCTGATGGGTCGAGAATGATGTATTACTGTTCGCAGTGGGCAACATCCACCTTGAACTCAGAACATGCTTCATTTTTTGACTTGCAGGTTCTGCAGGGTTTAGACTACCTCCACACTAAGTGCAAGATCATCCACACAGACATCAAACCAGAGAACATTCTGCTGACTGTCAACGAGCCCTACATCAAGAAAATGGCTGCCGAAGCTACACAGTGGCAGAAGACTGGCGCCGCACCTCCCTCGGGTTCTGCAGGTCACAACCTTTCTCTTCCTCAGCACGCCACTAAGCATCTTTTAAGGTTTGATCGGCATGTTGCTGACAACAGCGAGGTTTGCAGCAGGTCCAGTGCCTCTCATGTTTGACATGTCAGATATTTGGTGGTTCACAACATAAATGTGAGCAATAAGCCTCAATACAACTAACGATTTAAACAGGCCATTTGATCAATTATTTTTTATTGGACTTAACACATTTTATCGTCAAGAAGCACAAACCGACCATGAATGGGGAGCATACTGATATTCCAGCTCTGTGGTATAATCCTCCTATGTGTGAAATAAGTGTTTAGAAACTTGAGAATTTTGACTTAAAAGCATGTGGAGGATTCTAATAAAATAGGAGCACTAAGCTGTGTGTCAGTATGAGTCACCACTGCATTGGTTACGGAAATTACCAGCTTGCACAGAGGATGTGTGCTCCCGCTGAGCCGGGTGCTGCTGCAGAGACAGTCTATTAGTACAGCTTGGTGTGAATCAACTCAGCCACCCGAACAGAATACTAACTATAGAGAGACGAAGGATATGTCACATATGTTGTTCAATAATGTAATCCTCTGATTTTTCCTGTTTCCTACAGTGAGTACAGCCCCAGCACCCAAACCAGTAAGCAATTTTTTGTGGATTTATTTTAAATTTTTTTTACCAGATCTAGTGATATGAGGACTCACAAAATACATTTAGAATCAAGTTGTAATACAAACTTGAATTTATTTTCTCTCTCCTCTTGTTCTTCATTCCTAAGATGGCCAAAATGTCAAAGAACAAAAAGAAGAAGATGAAGAAGAAGCAGAGAAAGCAGGCGGAGCTTCTAGAGAAGAGGATCCAGGAGATGGAGGGAGGAGCAACACCTGAAGGAGGAGGAGAAGAGGAGGAGGATGAGGAGACGACAGAGACCACCGAAGAGACGACTTCCTCAGCCACCCTGTCTATGTCAGCCACACTGCAAGACATTGCTAACCATGCTATTGCAGGTGAATGGCTGGCCGATCGTAGACTGAAGTGGATAACTGCGCATAATTGTTGTAGTTAAAATGTTTTAATTGGTTTAAAAATCTGAATAGATAGTATCCTGTAGTATTTAACATCTGAAATAATTAATAATCAAGTCGAGTTTGGGCATTATCAAGAGTGTCATTCGTTAGGAAATGAATTAAACATAGTTGAATAATCTGCGTTGTACTTTGCCACAGACTCTACCCCCGACGAGCAGCCCCAGCAGAAGCCAGAGGTGAATGAACGGGAGGAGGAGAGCGGGATGGAGGTGAACTGCAACGGCCACGCCTCCACACTGGAGAGTGAGACCAGCCCAGAGGTACAAGGGACCAAGCAGTCGACAGAGGAGCAGGAGGACCAACGGAACGCAAACCGGCCTGAAAGCAACACAGAGACCTGGGACACGTTGAGCAACAAAGAAGAGCATCAGACCTGCAAAGGTTCACCCGGGGACACCAACCTGCAGCAGCTCCCTGCCCCTCTCAGCCCAGACTCTGTCACAGTAGAGCTAAAGGAGGATAAGAAGGGGGAGGAGATGGAGACCAAAGGAGGGGATGAAGATGAAGACAGCCAGAATGGTGAGTTAAGTTGAGAGTTGTGAGTTAAGCACTTTACTGAAGCCAAGTTACACTTATATTGAGTATACAGCATGGTTTATTTAATTAATAATCCTGTTTACATATCTGACTCGCCAGGACAGCTGCAGTGTTAAGGGTGGTGTCATATACAGTATATTTTTACATTCGCTCAATAATCTGATATCACACTTTTCTTTAATATGTACATTAACGCAACACGCATTACAATGAGAAAAGGAACCGTCAGTATGACTGAGAGTGAAGTGGCACAGTAAGCATGAGCAAGCATTGTACTGTTGTCAGTAAGAGCTAGAAGGTGAGCAGACTGCATCAGATCAAAGGTGCTAGTAAAGACTAATGCAAATGGATTATCCTGGCACATCATTAACAACCTCCGCTAACCAAGTACCCAGAGGAGACCCTGAAATGTCATCCACGAAATGCAAACCCAGGAGTTGGGATGTAAAGGGTTGTCATGTTTAATGTGATCCTGGGAGTTTTATTCCCAGTTGTCGGGATGAACCCGTGCGGTTATGAGCATTCTGCCAGTTTAGGTTTCCTTGGTTGTCTCCAATGTGTCTAAATATTTTCTTCCCCCTGCATTTCTACATCACCCTCTTCTGCCCCCTCTCCCTTTCCTCTCCTCTCTTTAACAGGAGCATCAGGCAGTATGTTAGTAAATCCCCTGGACCCTGTAAATGCTGACAAGCTGCAGGTTAAGATCGCTGACTTGGGCAACGCCTGCTGGGTGGTGAGTACAGATATATACATGAGCCCTTTTTATTTTTCAGTCAAGGACTGTTATTGAGATGTTTTTGAAAGGTTGGTCCACTGTGCTTTAAATCTGAACTTTAAATCTGGCTTAATTCAAGTAGCAGCCCTTTGTAAATACCAGCTTATTTATTACTTTGTGCCTCAGCATTCAGGATTTCTCTCATTCTTGCAGCACAAACACTTCACAGACGACATCCAGACGCGGCAGTATCGTTCTCCCGAGGTGCTGACTGGAGCCGGCTACAGTACACCAGCTGACATATGGAGTACAGCCTGCATGGTAAAACAAACACACACACAGTGTAACCGTAGGGCACTATGTCATTGACACCGACTGGGAAGACAAAAATGTTGTTGTCATATCCTACCCGAAAAAAGTTTTGGAAAGTCTTTGTTAAATGTTTTGGAAGATGTACTGTTCACATCAGCTTCCAGACTACTACTTCTCTTCTTTTATTGACTCATTGCTGATTTTTTATTTTTTTATTTTTTTATTTTTTTTTTACCAGTTGGCAGAAATGTGTATCATGTCAATATTAAAGATGCACCGATTGATGGGCTGTGACCGGAATCAGACAGTCTTGAGCTTAATCGGCCATGACCAGTGGCTGGGGTCAATCAGCGTCAAATATACACATTCTGTGCTGCATGGTGTGTCGTCTGGCGCACAGCGGTGCAGACAGTAACTGACTATTGTCACAGCCACACACGCTTGTTACAACATGTCGTCTGTGTGGAAGTTCTTCACCGAAAGCTGTAAGCTTCCCCACACACTGTGGATCCCCAGTTATAGTTTTGCAGAGAAACAGAAAGAGATGTTATATTGTATTACGTTAAGGACACAGGGATCATCTAAAGCACTGACCAGATAAAGCTACAGTGATCAGCTTCGAAGTCTTATGTAGCTATCAGCTTTTAAATTAAACTTGAGGTTGTTTTAGGCATGTGCTAGTTAACAGTCACGAAAATAAAATAAAAACTACTTTCAAAAATACATCTTTTAATTAACGTTTCTGCTATAGCAAAAGAAAGTTTCACTGAAATCAAGTCCTGATCTGAGCAGCTGATATGCTGTTTAGCAGCGGCGTCGTTAGCCCTGGTTTTTTGAAAAGCCCTGGATCTCGGAAGGGTTTTTAAAAATCAAAAAACAAAAGGCCGAAAATTTAACTTTACTCGCTTAACTAACTTACGTGTGCGGGAATGAGCGAAAGAGAGAGAGAGAGATTATTGTTATTATTTATTCTCCTGCATATTAGCGGAGCATTGTGTCTGTCCTCTCTGCTCCACCTGAAGCTGTGAGCTGCACTTTATCTGAGGTGCTGAAATTAACTTGTGTGGATTTGTGGTGAGGTTAATCACCTGATAGGCAGAGGAGGCATTATACATATTTCATTTCATAATCTATGTTTTGTCACCCCTCTTTCCTAATGTAAAGATTTTTTTTGCATTACCTTCCTGACTCAGGTGATTTCGGAGCTGGCTCATATAGGAGGCGGTTTACTAAGTGACCAGTCAATCACTCACACACTCCACATCAGTTGCAGACAAAATGTAACCAATAGAAATGTTGAGGGAGGGAAAAAAAGTTGGTTGAGGTCGGTTTGTGCTGCTGTTGCTTCTAGCTGCAGGCAGCAGTGATGATGTCTGCAGCAGTGGTGGGTACATCTAATGTAGGCGTACTCTTAATTTCGCTACATTTTCCATTCATACCTTTTATAACTTAACCAGTCTGTAATCTGCATTTTGCTTCATTAAATGAAATGAGCTGTGATCCAGGCTGTGTGTGCAGTTACGCAGTAAAGCGCTGGTCGGGCGCTTGTCACAGAGCTGGGCAGATGCAAACATTTAGAAAATCAGGCAAACACCTTCTCAGTTTAAGGCTTTATTGTTCTACTAATACAACTGAACTCTAGTGAGTGCACACCATGGCACTGGTGACCCTGTTGGAAAGCAGCCTGCGTCGCTCTTTCACAAGCCAGCAAGTAAAACACTTTCCATTAACGGCGCATCAAAAAGCGTCTTTAGTCTCTGCAGAGCAAATGAAGACTACACACTGTAAGATCTATGTCAGACGATCACTGCATTGATTGAGATATATTAAGTGTCCTGTTGTTGAACAGGTCATCGCTTTGGACATAAGCCTGTTTCTTTTCTTTAATACACATCGGTTACTATCTGTTTTATAGCGATGTCCGACGGTGAGCCCATAATGTCACCGATGAAACTAATCTTTCACTCAGCAGCTACCAGATGTTATTTTATTTTTCAGAGAGAGAGAGAGAATAGTTCTGTTGGGCTTTACGCATGACGCACAGCTTCCTCTGTACGCAGGTTTACCTGCTTCAACAACGAGCTGCTCTCATGTTACTGTTACATGATACTTGTGAAGATTATTTAGATGCTTCAGGAATAATCAGATTGTATTGGCAGCCTGTACTACTGCAAAACAAGTGGTTTGGTTGGTTACATCTCCATAATAAAAGGCACAGGTAACAAAAGTTGGCTGGGCAGCAAAAGTGATATTTTAAAGTGATCTCATAAACACCTTCATGGAGATTTAAAAAGGAAAATAAATGTAGAAATGGCTAAATTACAGATAACCAGCTTCTTCACTGCATTTGCAGGAATATTTTGGGCTACTTAAAAAAAACCTCATCAAGTTGCCTAGTCTTGACCTTTCCTCATGTGTACACATAGGGGCTGTGATCCTGCACAACAAAACATGCAAGAATTAAATCCCCACATTAGCATGGATAGTAGTGGCATAGATCCCTTCCACACCATGCGGCACGCAGGTGGACCGCGGATTGATTGCAAAGTTTATGATTATTTATCCTGTTTGACCTCTCAGAATATCCTTTATTCTGGAAATATCAGAGAACGTAGTTAGATTCTGAATGTGCAGAACTTTGAACATGAGCAGAAAACCTGCTGAAACACAGGAGCCATTAAAGTCCAGGAGTTTATAACTGAATTAAAATGATTTAATTTATTATTGATGAGGTAAAAAGGTGCCACATGCACATTTAAGGAGGTTACCTCAATCAGTCGCGGCTGCATGTGTGTTGATTCAGCAGCGATGATATTGATCTACAGGCGAAACATATCTGAAAGCAACCCAGAATGCCTGAGAGCTGCTCTGCATTATATTCTGTTTTGTTTTATTATACCACTATTAGAAAAAAAATAATAAGTCTTTTTCCAAGAGTGTTCTGGCCAAGGCAGGCAGTAGTACATTTGCACATTTAAGATGAAAATATAAGGTCATAACAATACAATAATAATTTCCACAATAAATTGGTGCAGAAAAACACCAGAATGTAGGAAATTATGTGTTTAACACTCACAATTTTATGGGGGAGTACGCCCAGACCCCCCTGTTCATACTGTTGCAGTTTTTTTTATATTATTATAATTAGTGTAGAGTTTTGTTGTGCCGTATAAGTAGAGGATGTTTACTGTTGCTTTACTGCTTTACAGACTTAACTTTGGGGTGGGGGTGTAAATTATTATGTGAAGATATGAAATTTTATGGGCTGGGCTAAGCCCCCAATGTTTCAAGATCCTGAAAACACCCCTGCGGTTTAGTGACGGAGCAGTTTACACGCCAGTACTGCAACACACCGGGACAAACTGACACTACAGAGAAAGGAATAACGTCATGCATTACACTTACGAATTTACAGGAGGACCAATAATAACGATTTTGTAGTAGACAGCGTTTCACAACGTTTATATATTTTCCCCTAACTCAACAACTCACAAAATTCTGTGACTTTTTTTAAGGGAGTTTTGGGCGGCCTGCCCCGCCGCCTCACACATAGACAGGAGAACTGTTCTCTCTTCTTTTGAAAGTATGAAATTGTCCGGTGTTGCCATGAGCGATGCATCGTTTATGATTGTAAAGTCAGGGCACGTCTGCCACGGAACAGGGTCGTTATCGTGTATCATAGTTACGTGCTATACTCAGCACCATTAACAATCAATCAATCATACTGACTAAGGGAAACTGTATAGAAAACGTTACAGCTCATAACGTAAAGTAATAGTAACACGGCTTTAATGTGAAGCTAGCTCGCTAACGAGCTTACCGAGACGAGTCTTCATCATCCACACACTGTTTCCAGGAAAACTCCGCTTTGCAGATGCTGCAGTTAACAAACTTTTTGCAGTGCTGAAATGTGTTTGAAATGCTCCCACACTTTGGAGGTTTTAGGTTATTAAAACCGTTGCCGAATTTAATAATCGCCGACTATGTTGATTATTTGTTGTACCCCTAGAATAAAGTCAACAGAGCAGACAGGTGTGAAGGGGTCATTCCTGTAGTTTGTGAGTAAATATTAAAATAATTAAGTAGAATTAAATGGTGAGATAAGAAATAACCTACTAGAAATAGTCATGTATTCTCTTAAATATTTTCAAATAAAATATACAAATGTCGCCCCTCTCCAACAGAGTTACACTATCATTCTCTGGTAAACACCACATGACTTACATAATGTACTTAATGCTGCAATTTATTTTAAGTTGGATTTGTATAGAAAAGCTCTGAACAGTAGCCTAACCTGGAGCACTTTATATATTGAGATGTGTTTGAGTGAGAGAAGATCCTGTGACCTGCTTCATGTCTGGAGGAAATGTAAAAGTTATTTAATAGTCAATGTTTTATTATGAACATACAGTTGAATGGACAGGGAGAAAAGCCAATCCTTATACTGGTGCTAAAGGGGATCCTAATAAAGAAAGAAAGAAAGAAAAAGGATTTTCCATTAAAGAAAAGTTACAAAGATGTTTGAGTATGCTGTTAATTATAGTTCTTAGAAAGAAAGAAAATTAGAATCGGCGGGTCACACCTTTAAAAAATCGGATATTGGCCAGGAAAAATACAATCAATCAGTGCATCAATATGCATGAGATACAGAAAATCTGTGAACATGATCATCGAAACATTGGTCTACAGCAACACTAGTAGTAGTTAAAATGTGTGTATACACACATAATGTAAGATGAGCTATTAGTGAAGGTTGCTGAACCTGAACCCTTAAATAGATGAAGCATTGGGAAACAATTGCTACAAACTCACATGGCTCACTGATGGACTTGTATTTGATTAAACCCATTCATTTATTGAGTTCATATGTTTGTGGGGTTTTTTTCCTCAGGCTTTTGAGCTTGCCACTGGAGATTATCTGTTTGAACCCCACTCTGGAGAAGACTACTCAAGAGACGAAGGTTGGTGTCTGCTTCCCCAGAAACATCTGTCCCGCAAAACATAAGACATTTAACTAGATGGTTATTCCAATAGACCCGTGAAATGAGTGTGAATGCCAGATTCACATGTGAAGTTATAGATTTTATACTGTGTTTATAAAGAGTCCAATGCTTTAGCCATTTACTGAAATGGTTCTGTTTACTTTGTTGCTTCAGCAGCTGTCTTTGTGTATTTCTCCACTTCCCTGTAGATCACTTAGCGCTGATCATGGAGCTCCTAGGCAAAGTTCCTCGGAAGCTGATCTTGGCAGGCAAATACTCCAAGGAGTTTTTCACAAAGAAAGGTAAACATACCCTGGCCACGCCACTGGCTGTCTGCTGTAGCTAAATCCTGTTCATCCTTAAAATATACTCCGGTATTTGGTGCGAAAGTGAATATTTCAGACTGTGCACCTCAAGGGAACAGCCACCTGCTCAGCTGAGGACAAAACTAAAGCTAATTAAATTAAGTGCAGCTATTCCAATTCATAGAGGTGGTGCAGGGGATTATTTCAACCAAAAGCACTTTTACATATTATTTGTATAAAACCATCATTTTACATGTTTATATAATAACTATAATATGTAATGCGTCAACATTCAGAACCGTAATTATTGAAATGTAATATTTTCTCCCAGGCGACCTGCGTCACATCACCAAGCTGAAGCCGTGGGGTTTATTTGACGTGTTGGTAGAAAAGTATGAGTGGTCCAAAGATGAGGCACACACCTTCAGCACCTTCCTGCTGCCCATGCTGGACCTGGTGCCTGAAAGGAGAGCCACCGCAGCCCAGTGCCTCTCCCATCCTTGGCTCACATCCTAGAGGCCCACCCGCACACACCTCCACCCTCATATTGTGAAAGGATAAATTAAGATCGAAGATTCCTGGGCTTGAAAACATACTGTCAAACACATTCATGTCTGCAAGACCCTGTGACTGCATTGTGCCTGCATCCTCCTGTCATGGCTCTCAGAGGCTAGCTACACACACTTTCATGAATTCAATAAAGAGAGGGAATGCGGCTGAGTCTTTGCCCTGTTTTGGATTACACTGGTGATGGAAGGAACTCGAGGTCTTCTCCCTATATTTATGGCTGTTTTTTTTTTTTTATTGGCTGCATAGGACTTATCGACCTCGCTCTTTTTTTCTGACTCCGGCTCTTTCTCTGCAGCACATTATTTTCTGTATATTTAGCTATAGATAATAGACTGGGATTTAAAAGGAAGTTGCACTTTGTCTACAAATGCAGAACAAGGCAGGATGTTAACAGAAAAATAAAGATCGCCCACGTACTGTTATCATTTAGGTCACTAATAAGCCAAATCTGTCTGTTTGCCGGTCATTACGTTAGCTGTGCCAGCTTTTATTTTGACTGTCAAATGTGTGCAAAGTGCTCAGAAATAACAACTGCATAATGCTAACAGGCATGATGAGAGTCTAGTAATGTTCTTAGTGCTGTTGGCTTTATCCTACACAAAACTTTTGTACATTTGTATACAGGCAGAACTACATGATTAGAAAGCATAACTTTCATACATTTCAAAATTGTGCACCAGTTCTGGAGTGGGACTCATCAGAAACTATTTTTCAGGAAACTGTTTAATCTCAGATTTTTCAAGTGTTATCATTTAATTTCAGCATTATCTTATGTAAAAAGGAGGAAAAAAAGCACTTGACACAGTATAATGTGAAAAACTTTCAGATTCCTTCAACTTTATGCTGTCTCATACTTGTATCACTTCATGCCTGTTAAGAAAAAGGCTTCATATTCCATTTCCCACATTAACAGTAAAATCTAGTTGTGTGGATCCACGTCCGGAGTACAGTACCAAAGAGTTGGCCTGTAGCCTCTCCCTCTCTGCGGCTAATGCTGTGCAGTTTCTAGAGGAGACTGTCAGCAGTTTAGATTGAAGGCAGAAGCCTTTTTTAAATTTTTTTTTTTTTTTTATTACACTTTATGGAAATGCCTCCAAGAATGTTCAGGTGATATCTGGTTGTAGGATTATTAAAGCTTTGTGTTTCCACTGCACATGGAGGTGTTGGATTTGAAAATAATAGATTGTACTAAAAAGAAATGCTGTAATAATGCTTTGAATCCCCTCAAAACCATTTGTTTTTCTACCAAGTCTCATCTCCTCTGTCCATGTCTCCCCTCTTAATTTGATTGTTAATTTTTTTTTTCTGAAGGTAATAAGAATAAACATTTTTCAAAATCTCACTAGATTGTGGTGGTGATTTGAGGCAAATACAGTGTTTCATGCAGGGATTTCAGTCCCTAAAGACGCAGAGCAGAATCAGATGTTCAATAGGAAGATTTTATTCCATACTAAACACTAACAGATCCATGAACCAAGGCCATAGGGTTTACATTGAGGACTGTTTGGAGCATATTTTATTTGGACTTTATTAGAAAAATCACTCGGTACTCCTTAATTTACGTGAAACACCTGTTTTCAAAGTTAATGATTAAATTAACTTTTTTAATGGTGTTAGCACAGTCTTCTTAGCATTAATGATAACTCTAGTTAAAGTAACAAGGAGCTGCTCTACATTGGTATTTGAGTAACAAAATCTTTTGCAGAAACGTCCACAGAATGTTAATTCCTTTGTTTTAGTCCAAAATACAAACAGAGTTAGCTCATCTAAGACTGCAAGGTCTGAGCTGGAGGCTGGATAGTGACTACTCCCATGTTTTCAAAGTCTATTGTCACAATTTCAAGGACAAGATGAACTTATTTTTAGATTAACTAATTGTCCTGAATCCTTGGAGAATCCTTTCAGTCAGTAGTACTCCCCATAAAGTCTCGTCCATCTCTTCCCTCTGTTGCCCACAGCCAGCCTAGTCGTTATCTGTGGTTGAGAGAAAAACATTACTGAAAAGAGAAGGAGGTGTAATCTCAGTTCAGACAATGACAGCTTTATGTCAATAGCTCAGCTGGGTGTTAACTGATACACCCACTCTATGTTAAGACCAGTCTAAATCCATGCTAGCGGCTCTGTGAGGCTGTATTCAAGCAGCTAGGAGCTAAATGCTAATATCTGCATGCTAACATGCTCACAAGGATAATGTTAGTGTGTTGATTTGTAGCAGGTATAATGGTTACCATCTTAATTTAATGTTACCATTCTAACTTTAGCTAATTAGTACACAAAAAAGTACAGCTGAGGCTAATGGGAATGTCATTAGTATTGGACAAATGAAAAGTTAGGCACTAGATGAAAGGTCAGGGGATCAAATGTATTACAGTTCATCCTCTGGGGAACATCAGTTTCCATATTTCACAGTAATCAATCCTCATGGTGGCACTTTTTTTATACCTTTATTTTCCCCAGCCAACACATTCTTATTTACAATAACGGCCAGGCAGGAGAGCAGACAAAGGCCTCCTGTTGGGAATGGGTACTGGGATTAAACTAAACACTCCAAACACTAGAGTAAAGGTAAAGTCAATAAAATACATCATCCACATTGACCTGCTGGTGTTGCTAGAGTAAAAGTCAGAGGATCACTGAAATCATTAGAATTTATCCTGTAGGGAATCAAAATATCTGTAGCAAATCTTTGCCGATGTCACCCTCATGGTAGCGCTAGATGAAATGTCAGAGGATCACAAGTCTGTAGCATTCATACTCTAGGAACCATGACTGTACAATATTTAATTTACATCCAGTATTTATTGAGATATTTCAGTCTGGACTAAAGTGATGGACCGAACAACCTTGCCATCTAGAGCATATGCTGCCAGTGATCGTTTTGTTCTCAGTTTATTCAGACCTCAGCAATTCAATACTTAAACAGGGGGTCAAACTTTGAGGTCTCAAGGCTGCCCAGCCTCTGCTTCACTTCAGTCCACCCTTTTCTTTCCTCTTGCAAAATTTGCTATCTCTTTCCTCCAGCTAGATATCCTCATCCAGCCTGTGTCCCCCTCCCTCCTTCCCTTCAACCCTCCCTTCACTCTTGTACCTTTCCCCTCAACCTGGAAGTCCTCGGGCAGCAGCTTGTCCTGCCGGCTGCCCAGGCTGAAGGCCACCATGGAGAGGATGAGCGAGTCCATGATGCTGATGATGGCCAGGATGTACGCCCAGCGCACCGTGCAGTTGCCCAGGGTGTATTTGTCAGTCCGCTGGCCACACATGCGCTTCACCTCGTCTGAGTCCCAGCCGTCAGGATAGATCATACAGCCAATCACCATGCATGTGCCTGGGAGAGAGGGAGGCACAGCATGAGGGTTTAAAACCAGGTCATTCATTTTGAAAACATTTCTTATTTATTTGAATACACAAACTTTTTGATGTGGGAAACCTGTGGAATTGCATTTGGATGTATTCAGTAAAGGAATTTACATTTACTCAAGTACTACACTTAAGTGCACATTTGAGGTACTTGTAGTGTACTTTGTTTTTTATATTCCTGCCACTTCTACTTTTCTACATTTCAAAGGGAAATGTTTCACTTTTTACTGCACTACAGAGCTTATAAAATATGATGTTTTGTTATAAATTAAACCACCCCACGGTATATACAAGAGCTGAAACAATTAGTCAATCGAGAGAAAATTAATTGGTGACTATTTACAAAATAATTTTATGTAATTTTTCATGTACAAATACAATCAGCCTCTCAAATCTGTGGATTTGCTTCTTTTCCTTGTAATAACTGTAATCATTTTGAGTTTTGGACTAGTTGTTATTGTTGTTGTATATTATAAGAAAACATTGTGAATGTATCACGCTGTGATGGACAGAATTTTTACAAACCAAGCAATCATTTGATTAATGGTTTGATTAATCCTCAACTAACAATAAAATGCTGCTTACACATAAATGAATAAGTATTAATAATCTAGTGATAGAATATGTAATATCTCCCTGGGGACTTTTGGGTACATTTATTGAAGTACAGGATCTGAATACTTCCTCCCCCACTGTCTGTGTTTGAGTTTTATATAGACTTGTTGACTGCTAAAAGAACATCTTGCTGCGGTTGATGGGCAATATCACGAACCACCGTCTTCACCTCCATTGATGAAATAACAAACAAAAAGAGAAATTAATTAAATACACTCCACTCATTCAGGTATACGCACATGTGCGCACACACGCAGGTGAGATGCTTAGCAACTCCAGAGCGTCTCAACTCTGGAAAGATGAACCTCTTCATCCATTATTAACTCTACAGAAAGACAACCTCTCTTGTGCTGGCTCACCTCGGCATGTAGGTGAAACATTAGCACATACGCACACCTAATCTAAATCAAAGAATTAAAAAGAATCAAAGAATTAGAATAACCCTTTCACAAGAACAGTCCCCACTAACAACAACCCTTTTTACTTAAATGGGGCCCTATGAAGAGAGATACAGATTCATTTGCAAAACATTACAAAAAAATCATCAAAAAACAAATGTCTGAAACTTCTGCAATCTGAACCCAAAGTAAACCAAATTTAGAGGATAGCGACCCACAGAGACTTTATCTTTAAAAAGCTACCGCTGGGAGATGTTTTTATTTTCCTCACTAACAGTGATATGAAATATCCACCCTTACAACTACTGGAGCGCGCGCACACACACACACACTCAGAATGACAGGTGTGAGGCGTGTGAAATGGGAGAGGAGAAAGTGTAACAGCACACCTCCAGGTTTAGCTCATTAATTGCTTCATTATAGGCTCATCCTTTCACTTGCAGCTACATCTGTTCAAAATCTGCTTCTGCACTCATTTCTCTCTTTATGAGGCCGAAATGCACTCATCTTTTTATAACCAAATGGCCTACAATTAGCAAGTGTCCCGAGATGAGATTTTGTCAACTGTTGTGTCTCAGTGGTGGAAAATAACAAAGTACATGTATTTATATTTCACGCTACTTTATACTTTGAATCCACTACATTTCAGAGAGAAATATTTTACTTTATCCTCCACTACATTTAACTAACAGCTATACAGAAAACCAATGTGTATTTTTTTAAAATGATACATTGCAAAGGAATAACTAACCCAATATTTTACTTTAGTAACATTTTGAATACATGACATTTACATGTAACAAAGTATTTCTACAGTGTTGTATTTGCTGCTTATACTTGATTAAAATATCTGAATACCTATTTCACTAATGTTAGAAATGCTGCATTATAGCCCTGGTCACTGGGGCCAGTGCCCTGAGGCCTCGGACTGCCAGGGGGCCTACAAGCCTCAGGCAGCGCACGGTTCGTGGCCCAAGCTGCCACCTGGGCCCCTTCGTACATACAGTGCATGCTTAAAACAAGAGCCTCTCGGAGAGTACAGTGCTTCTACACCACTGAGTAACTGGTTGACACGCTACAATGTGCTGCGACATGGTACAATATTCACGAACAAGTCTGCTCATTCTGCATAAAAGAACAGCTTGAAGGCTGATGCTAAACTGAATGGCTGGCTTGAATATTACCTCATCAATAATGGGAATAATGACTCATCAGTAAAGTTGAGGGGGGAAAGCACCCAGCCAAACATATTCCCTGAAACTTATTCCTGTGAGGGTTGTGTGTGTGTGTGTGTGTGTCTGTCTGTCTGTCAATGTATTAATGTGTGTCTATGTGTCAATATGCAGAACCATGAAATTCAGTGCACAAGTCACAGACAGGTATACAAGAAATAGCTCAACTTCAGACTGCCAGTCAGAATGGAGGACCTTTGATCTTAACTCGGTTAATTAACATCGACTAGGTAACCAACCCTCCCATTCAGACAGATAGAGAAAGTCCTCTGAAACTTTTCTTCAAAGACGAGTCAAAATAGCCTAAACTATAGGGTGTATCGGTTTAGTGACCTCACCATGAACACCAGAAAGCATTTTTGTGTTTGTGTGGATAAAGTAAAAAAAATTTGAGGATTACAGCCATTTGGAAAATTGGTAGTTTCTGCTTTCATCCACAAAGCTTGAGGATAATTTATTATGGGCGTGAATGTAGGATTTGCCTGTCATTCATTTGGAAGCTCACTGAGCCAAATCTACCACCTATTGATTTCAAAAGCACTTTTTTTTTTTTTCGTACGTTTTTGGTGTAAAATGATGCATGAACTGTGGGCAGGACAGCGATTAAAAGACTAGATTTGGGGAGGTGGGTGCTCCAAGAGACACGTGCCCAGGGGCCTCACAGGACCATGATCCAGCCCTGGTTTCCTGCCAAGGCCTATGTATTTTCACATTGACATGTCATTGATTACTTAT